TGTCATTCAAAGTGAGATTTTGTAATCGCAAGGTCTAGTATTATTAGCATTCGATTACATGTAAAACACTGCATATTATGTCCGCTTCATGACAGCTGCTGTTTCACACTCAACCACTGCATGCCGTGTCAAGTCAAATTTTCATTGTAAGATACTTATTATCTGTAGCTTTCCTACAGTACACCAGCTTGGAAACATCATGGTGTAAAAGAGTGGTGGAATATAAAAAAAAATGGAAATAAATAAATAAACGAACACACTCCGCTTCAGATTTGACATATGCACTATAAAATAACCATTAGCAGTTAGCTACAATCTGAAGTGACAGTCTATCAATAATGTCCATCTGAAAATGGGACAGGTTTGTTGCTGCCTCTAAATCATTGGCGAGTCCGTAGAGTTGAGACACAGGCAGGTATAGAAAATGCATTAAGGCGAGATGTTGATGGGAGTGGTGTGAGCGTGGGGACACTTAAAGCTCCAAGGGATGTGACTTTAGCATGCCCTGTGCTCACACACACACACACACACACACACACGCACACACACACTCTCTCTCTCTGGAGTAATAGCTCAGCATTTCAGCTCATCACACTTTACCTTTAAACCTTGTGCTGTACTGAAAATCCTTTACCCAATTTAGTGTTCCCAACCAAAAATTTCTATTTTTGGGGGTACTTTTTATCCCAAAAAAGTACCTATATATATTGTTTTATTCTTATTCTTATTCTTTTTTTTTTTTGTAAAGTTGTTATACTTTGTGTGAGCAAAGTCAGTACAGTTTAGTCCATTACAATAACATTGCAATAAAAAAACTAGCATTTTTGAGAAATGGAAAAGCCTTTCTGGGTCAAAATGACCAGAACACCACATGAAGGTTAAACTCCATAAATCGGAGTGTGATAAAGGTAATGATGTTGTTGGGAGTATTTGTGGGAATGTACTGTATTTGGACATCGTAACTCTGTGAGATTTCATTTAATATTGATATATGTCAACCAAATGACTTCTATGACAGCCAAGCGTTGTTCAGCTGAAAATTTATCAAAAATGAATATGCATTTTGTATCAAGTTACTAAATTTCAATAGCCCAAAAATGTAATTTTCTCTCCGTCTACAAAAAAAAAACATGAATATATTTGCCTGCCAGCAAAAAGCCCTTAATTGGTCTTAATCTTTTATCTATATTGACGTCACTTTGATATTCTTTAATAAAACTGAATCATTATAGAGCTATTAAAGTTCTCATAAAAACTGTACTTTTTTTTGTTTTAATAGTAGCACACACAAATCTCTTCTGCCTTGACCTCTGGTTAAGTCTGTGTTTATTTAGTATACTAATTCAGACCTTTTACCCACCCAACAGCCCACTTTCAATTCACACAAACACCCACTTAACTCCGTTTCCTCCTCCCTTTGGTGATATTAGCATAAAATTTGCCTAGGCTGTGCATATGAATGGGCTCTATTCATGAATGAAGTGAATGTGGGCTCACGGAGCTGAGTCAGGGTGGACCCGGGCGCCACGTGCCTTTTCTCTCCTGCTGGTATTAAAGTGGCAGCGTCTGATTGTCTGCTTGCCAGCGGAGCCCAGCCATCTGTCTGCGTGCCGCTCTACTTGGCATAACAGGCTGGCGTTATGGCAACAAGTGTCTTTTTCCGCATTGCCACACTCAAACTTGGCAGCCAGCCTGCCCGTTTGCCCGCCCCCGTATGCAGATAAAGAGCTTATTATGCCCGGGCAGTGGGTGGGGGAGCAGGAGGTGGGGCTGCTGATTTACATATCACCGCCGAGTTGACACCCTCCAGATGCAAAACAGCCAAGTAGCAATTAAGGCTGCTTAGTGCTTTTGTTTAGTGCGTTGGAGTGGGCAAGCCGGGCGGGCATTGCTCAGACGTCTCCAGAGGGGACGTGTATGAGAATTTCAGCTCGGCACGTGGCTCCTACCTCCCCTCCCTTTTCGTAGCTCGGCACGCGTTCGGCTTGAACATACGCACCCCTGTCGCTAGGTGGTCTGCTGACTTAGGCCTGGCACTGTGAGCTGCTTTCAGGCACAAGTCAGTGATTACATGGATCACAAATACTGATACTGACCTATCACAAATCATAAGCACAACAACAGCCTGCATATTCAGGCTTATTCTCATTTTGATGCTGTGCTGACCGATATAGCAGTTGTTTTTATACTGACACTTAGTGGCCTGGATGCAATAACGTTGCACAAAGTTTTCAGTTAATAATAATATTGTATAAATGTGCTATTCACTGTCAGTCATGATTCATTTATTCCCTGAGCAAAAGTGATCACAAATGTGGAATTATTGAGATTATATATTGAGACCAATTATTGACCCGACTCGTATAAAATATAATAATTTTGTAATTTTGCATGCCAATTTTTTATTATTGAATAATCAAACATGTGAATATGCATTATTATTATTATTATTATTATTATTATTATAGGATTTGATGTCCAAGGATTTATTGCAGTTTTTTTTTTTTAGGAATCATCGTGATACTATTATAATGTTTTATTAGTTTGAATTAGTTTAATTTTAAATGTAATAAATCAAATGTATTTTTATATATACTGATATATATATATATAGTTTTTATTATAGTTTTCAGTTTTATATTATAAAAAAATCGAATTAAGCTAAATGAAAATGAGAAACGGCAACTAGCTGAAATAAAATTTATTTTATTTATTTTATTTTATGTCGGTTAAAGTTTATTTTATTTCAAGTAACAAAAATATTTTTATGGTCTAAGTTTCAGTTAACTGTAATGACCGTGGATCCATGCGATGAAATTTCCCTGCTCTTCAGATCTAAACTGGAGAGATGCATGTGCATTTAAACAGAGTGAAAGGTATGCCAGAGTTTGCATGTGCACACAATATGCATTGATGAATTGTGGTTTCTGTGTTTCTTCATCTGTTGAGAAAACCTTCCATAGCCACGGTATCGAAAAACACTTACTGCTAATGCAAATAACAGGGCAGTATAAATCAGTGACCAGGAGCGGGCAAGCGAATATTGTGTAATAGTTATTGCGAAATGAAGTGGCATTGGGATCATCCATAGTATATATCTCACTCTGCTGTGGTGGGCCATTGGAGGCCAGGGTCCTCGCTACTGCCTTCACGGGGCACCATAAATCTGTCATTGTGTCTGGATGTATATGTGAGCCTATGCCCTCTTATTAAAAAGAGCCAGTAATTAGCACATTGGCCCAAAGCTGCTTTAATGCACCGACAGGAAAATAAAACCTCATGTAAAAGTATTGCGCTAATATATGTCATTGTGTGCACTGTAAAAAATATCTTTCAAAGATGTAAATAAAAGTTTCTGTGTTTCAAAGAAAATCCTAATTTTTTTTTTAAATGCAAGGACAAAAAGTAGCAGAAAGATAGAATGATTTCTACTGTCTTTTCAGTGCGTTTTCCCACAAGTCCTTGTAACTGTCTCAACCCAGTCAATACATTCCTTAAAGGGATAGTTCACCAAAAAATTAAAATTATGTCATCATTTACATCAAGAAGATAGTTTGAAGATTGCTGGTAATCAAACAGTTGGTGGTTGTCATTGACTTCCATAGTATTTTTTTTTTCCTACTATGGAAGTCAATGGCAACCACCAACTGTTTAGTGACGTGACGTGACATGTGACATGTGGCCAAGTATGGTGACCCATACTCAGAATTAGTGCTCTGCATTTACCCATCCAAAGTGCACACACACAGCAGTGAACACACACAAACCGTGAACACACACCCGGAGCAGTGGGCAGCCATTTATGCTGCGGTGCCCGGGGAGCAGTTGGGGGTTCGGTGCCTTGCTCAAGGGCACCTCAGTCGTGGTATTGAAGGTGGGAGAGAGCGCTGTACATTCACTCCCCCCACCTACAATCCCTACCGGTACGAGACAACCTTTGGGTTATGAGTCCGACTCTCTAACCATTAGGCCACGACTCCCTGGTTTGATTACCAGCAATCTTCAAAATATATTTTTTTATGTTCAACATAAGAAAGCAACTCATACAGGTTTGGAACGACATGAGGGTTTGGAAGACTAAACAAAGTAGTTTAGCTTTCACAACGAAGCACACAGCGTCTTCACGACATGGCTGCAGTGTCAACAATACTACAGTGAGAATAAAAGTTACGCCTTCTTTCTTTGCGTGAACATTTGGGCGGCGTTATGCAAATCTTCCCACATAGTGAGGTAGATATGTGGGGGCGTGTTAGAACGAGCCGTTTTAGGTAGGTGTGGCTGACTCTGAACTTTTATAAAGAATATCTCTTTGGATTTGAGACTTTAGTCTTTGCAACTTTACAGATCTTCTTTATGCACCAAGAGCTTGTAACACTCCAAAGAGAAAGGAAAACTTGAAATCGCATCATATGACCCCTTTAAGGTCTCAAAGGCTGCTAGGCTACTATGAATTCTCAGTATCATTTATTGTGGTCTCTTGCTTTAAAATTTAAATCTAAAATACTCAACGTGTTTTACAATTACATTTCTGTTGCTCTTGTATTTATTGCATTAATATAAAGAGCACAGTAAATGGCTGTGAAGTGGTATGGTATGAAATATCGGTATGTTCATCCCAGTTCATCCCAGTTTCTGATTACATATGCATTACAAGCATGAGGGCCTCATGTACATTGCTGTCACGATGTACACCTTTGTTCTTTGGTTCAATGTGCCTCCTATTGTCGTGGATGTTTGTTTGGTCTTTTCGCTGGCTTGTCCATCACAAGGTTTATTCTCAAACTTATTTTAGATAGTGTTAAGTATGGCCTTGGGGCCAGAAATGATTGGGGCCAGTCAGAAAGTATTTGAGTAAGAATGTTGATCAGTCAGCTTGGAGATTAGAGACCTTGGTGTTTTCTTTGAGACGGCTGATTGGAGTGGATGAGGAAAATTGAATTTCAGATTTGATTGAAGGCTGTTTGATTATGATTATTTCTTTGTGTGTCCTTTATAGGTCTGTGAGGAAACGAGGAAAGGGATTTTGCAGCTGCTCTTCATCGACTGTTGGTGAGTCTGAGCGCACAGAATCATTAAAAAAAGTTTGTCGTCATACTGTGTGTAATTTCCGAACGTGCCATCTGTAACCTACCTCGTGGACAAATTTTCTGTGTCTTTTTTTTTCACAGCGTGCATAGTGCATTTAGCTGGGAGAGTGAATTATCCCTGTGGCAGAGATGTTTGTGCAGGTTTAGATGTGACGGTATATCTAAAGGAGCTCACTACAATATTGATCTCTCAAACTGGAGTCATTTGCCATGTGCTATTCCTGGCTTTTGTCACTCACTGATAATTATTGGTAAAAAATGGGATGCCACTGCATGACAAAATGTCACGTCGTTGCAAGTAAAGGGAAAGTAGGAACAGAGAACATTTATGCATTGATAAACTACAGCGCTGTGCTTTTTGTATAAAATGGCAAATATTTGAGTGCAAATGTTTGTAATAACATGTAATTAATATGTTATTATACTATATTATACATTCATATTCTATTATAAATGATTGATTGGCATGTGAGCTTAGCTAAAATAATTAGCAATTTTTTTGAGAGGGTTTTAAATGCATTTAGTTCATTTCCCTCAAGGTGATAAGGCAGAAAAGCTCTCTACTGTTTTATTGATGCTTGAAAAACATCTCTCTGGTTTCATACTTGCCTTTAAGACATACGATCCTAAAAGGAGTGCTGCTTTGTAATACTTTATATTGAAGTCCCACTGTTTTAAATGCAAGTGAGTAATTACCATATAAATATCAGCCTTTCTTTTATGAGAAATTTAAAGACGCTTTCAGTGTAAAAAACAGATGTTGAGGCAATCTCGCATAATTGGATATCGGCATTATGTGGTTTTGCTAATCAACACCAATGAAGTGGCATTCTATTATTTTTTTATTTATTTATTAATCCACTCAAGTGCAGTTTTATGGCTCTGAAGTGGTAGACTTGTAAACCAACAGGCCTGCGCTCTCAAAAGGGAACCAGATGGAGAGTGAAAGTGTTTTGGCAACATGTTTTCTAGCAAACCACACACAAACACACACACACACACACACACACACACACACTCACACACACAAACACACACACAGGTTTGTTTTTATGGTTTATGGGGACTCTCCATAGGCGTAATGGTTTTTATACTGTACAAACCGTATTTTCTATTGTCCTACACCAACCCTATCCCTAAACCTACCCCTCACAGGAAACTTTCTGCATTTTTAGATTTTCAAAAAAACTCATTCTGAATGATTTATAAGCCTTTTGAATTACGGGGACACTGAAAATATCCTCATAAATCACCTTCTCGTTGTAATACCTATGTCATACCCATGTTATTATACAAATTTGTGTCCTCATAAACCACATAAACATGCACATGCACACACACACACACAGGCTAACAATCTCTTCATCTGTAAACCGATGTTGGTCCGTGGGTCTTTGCTAGCCATATGGCTGCTCTTCAAGTCCTTATTCTAATCTATCTGTATCTCACCTCAGCCTAACCTTGAACTTGGAGACACTGGATGGAGGTCAAAGGTCAAAGGTTATCTGAGTATCTGAGGTTGGTCTTGTCGTGTGGATTATGAAGCGGTGGGTTGTTTGCACTTCCACTCCAGAGTGGAGGAAGTGGCAGTTGCTCAGCAAAGCTCAGAGCTATAGCCTCTGGCGATCGAGTTCGACTCATGTGTAAGCTGTGTGTTGTAGGGTTAGAGTTCCTGACCTTTGACCTGCATCAGTGAAGGATGCATGATACAGCATGAGCAGTCCTAATGCTCTCCTCAGTGAGTGGACAATAGACAATGCTATTGATCCACTGGTGCGGTCTGTCTCACTGTTTAAGAGAACTCAGTCAGCTTGCTGTCAACAACTAGACATCTACCAGAGTTGTACCTTTAAATATGCAAGAGATAAATCAAATAAGTATAGGGTGGGGCGAAGAAGCAAGTTCCATCTGTGCTGTTTTTATTTGTGTGCCTTGGTCATTGTATTTCATCTTGTATTTTGGATCGTGAATGTTGCATTTTTAGATGTGGGTGTCAAAACAATAGCTCTAATTAAAATGATAATGATTGATTATGCCTTGTAAGTTTCTAAATTCATACAGTTAATAAATTGCAGTAGCAAACAGAATGCAGAATTGCAATTGGAATTTAGATGACTAATTTTTAACTAGAAAATGAAATGTAAAACTTTGAACTTGTTTGATACTTTTGAAGAAAGTGTAAAAAGAGATAGATAGATAGATAGATAGATAGATAGATAGATAGATAGATAGATAGATAGATAGATAGATAGATAGATAGATAGATAGATAGATACTTAATATAAAAACAATGAAAAAAAAATATTTTTAATAATTTGATATATTAACGTAAGTCAATGAAATATACATGCTTTTATCGTTTTTTTTTTTTTTTTGTAAATGTACATACATTATTTATTTATTTATTTGTTTATTTAGAATTTAAATATAATTTATATTTTTTATTTACATTTATTTTATTTATATTTCAGTTCAGCTTCCTGTGGGGTGAAGCCAATTCAATTCAAAATCAAATTCATGTATTGAAAGAGAAACAGTTCTTCCATTCTGAATTCTACACAACCCTGGCGTATATGATCCATGAAAGTTTTCCATAACCTCTGAAGTATTGCGCTTTAAGCTTAATCCTCACGCATGAAGGCTCCATCTGTGAGACTAGCACTCCACGTGAGGGATCTTTACGCCAGCTTACACCATTCTTTGCTTCAGTTATAATTACAATAAAACTATGTGTAAAACACTGCAATAATAAAACAGTATAGCTTGTATAATTTACTCAGGAAGCCCCCGTATGATAGCACCATGAGGAGTTGAACTGTAAGGGCCACTCATGCTTGTGGCTGGGTCAGGTGTTGAGCCACCACCTTCTTCAACCCAAACCAGCCAAACCACGTCCTAATACACTCTCTCTCCTCCCTACTGGTTTTGCAATAGGAACATCTGGAAGTGGAAGTGCAGAAAGCAGACTAGAAATGCATGGGCACAGCAGGTCCTGCTCTCTCATTTTTCCCCCTCCTCCCTTTCCCTCGCTCCCTCACTTGTGTCGAAAATCTGCCTGGAGTGGTCAGAGGTAGAACAGCATGCGGAGCGGCCGTTTTCTGTTTCGTTTTCCTTTTTTTGTTTTGTTTTTTCCCCTCCTTCTCGTTCCAGGGGAGATCCAGGCCAGCGATAATCCCTCTCTCTCCTCATTAAAGGGAGCTGAATAAACACAGGCCTCTTCCAGTTGTTCCTGCAAATTTCCTCACCAGCCGTCAGGAGACCTTAGAGCGGGCCGGCCCTTCAAAGGCCTGGAGGGCTGGAGGTGGCTTGGGGAGTGCTGGGTCAGGAACATTAGCCGCCACTGAGGGAGCCAGGCCCGGCCCGGCACTCACTTAGCCTGCGGTCAGAAAGAGAGAGAGAGAGAGAACAAGAAAGACAAAGACAGCGCACAAGAAGATAAAGCTACAGACATTTAATGAAAGTTTTGTTGCGTTTGGCCCTACTTTCTGTATTTGGATCTAGTTGTCGCTGGTTTTAGGAGTTTTAATAACACACTCACTTAGTACAACACACCACACACTAATAAGGTTTTTGGGGTGGGCAGGGACTCTAAATGAGTAGTAATACTCCAGACACAGGCCAATCTTCTCCTCGGTTAAGTTAGAGCCTGTTGTCGGCATTGTTTTAATTTGCAAGCTGTGTAGTGACATTCATTTTCTCCTCTCTTCACTTCCTGCCCATCAGCTAAGAGGGGCAGCGGTTCACTTTTGTGGAAAAGGCAATTAAACAGTCTGAATAACTGCGGCAACTTCAGCAGAGAGCCAAACCTCTCATTTAATTGCTTACTCAATAACTCTGTAGGATGAATAAATTGATCAAATTGTGTCCCAAGAGGTACTGAGGACAAAGCACCCCCCCCCCCCCCCCCC